GACGCAACGCCGCCCTGCGCGAGTGCGTCGCCACCATGGGCGCCGCGCACCAGCTCGACGCACGCATCAACGCCCTCGTCATCACGGACCAGCAGGACGAGATCCGACACCTGCGCGACGCCCTGCGCGACGCCCGCCGCACAGGGAAGGGCGAGGACCACCGCGACCGCGACCGCGACCGCGACCGCGAGCTGGAGGGCAGCACGGCGAGCGATGACAGCGGAGAGGACGCCGCCTTTGGCAGGGTCGGAGCAGAGGTTACCGTGTGCCTGGCGCGCGGCGAGGGCAGGGCGGAGAGGGACCGCTTGGCAAGGTCCAAGACGCGCCTTCTCGAGTCGTTTGAGCGCCGCCATTCGGAGTCGGTAGAGAGCATCGTGAGACGGAATTCACAGGCGTGCGTGGGGAGAGGGGACGGGCGCGAGGTGCTGGGAAAGCTTCCGTCGGAATGATGTGTACGATGCGAGGATCGCTACTGTAGGGCGCTATGCCAGTACTAACACGTTTTGATTATTGAGTTAACACACACATAAATTATGAGTCGCTCGCTAGAAGACAAACTGTACGCTTCTCCCTTGGCCGCGTGGCCTTCGCCGCGCTAGCCTTTAATGACGGCCACCGGCCGCAGCTTAAGGCACTTTCGCGAAATCCCGGCTTGGTCGCATGTGTCCACTACCGCGGATACGTCCTTGTAACTCTGCAAGCAAGACACAAAAAAAGAACAAGACAGCGCCAAAAAAACAAGCACACTGGGTTAGCAAAAGAAAACCGTTGCGGCTCTCGCTTCACACAGCACGAAAGAAAAAGAAAGAAACAGTTAACGCCTTCCTGTTACCTACCTCTGGCGCCTCCTCAGTGACCAGCTTTGGCGACGCGACGCGAATCGCAATCCCCTTGCCCTCCAAGTTGTTCAACACTTCTTCATAGTTAAGCTGACGCCGGCAAGCGGACCGGCTCTGCGCCCGCCCCGCCCCATGGCACGTCGACCCAAATGTCTCTTTCATCCCATGTTCGGTCCCAAGCAACACATAGCTGCACGTCCCCATCGTCCCTCCGATCAGCACGGGTTGCCCCGTCATCTGGTAGTCGCACGGCACTAGCGGATGGTGCGGCGGAAAAGCCCGCGTCGCCCCCTTACGATGCACCAGCAACTTCTTCACCTTCCCATCTACATTGTGCGTTTCCACTTTGGCAATGTTGTGGCTCACGTCGTAGATCACGTGCATGTCCAGCTCTGCCGGCGACTTTCCAAACACCTTTGCAAACGCCTGTCTCGCCAAGAACGTCATCGAGCTCCGGTTGACCCAGGCAAAATTCGCCGCCGCTGCCATCCCGGCCAAATAATCCTGCCCCTCCTTGCTCGCGATCCTCGCACACGCGAGCTGCCTATCATTCACCTCGATTCCATCCCTCGCCATCGCCTTTTCCATATGCTGCAAAGCATCCGTAGCCACCTGATGTCCTAAGCCCCTGCTCCCGGAATGGATCATGACGACGACTTGTCCCACAGTAGTGACGCCCATCGCCGCAGCCGCCGTTTCATCAAAGATCTCATCCACAATCTGTATCTCAGCGTAATGATTGCCGGCGCCCAGCGTGCCCAGCTGGCTCAAGCCGCGCTTCTTCGCACGTGCAGACACTTTGCACGGGTCTGCCTGGAGCATGCGGCCATTCTCCTCGCAGTGCTCCTTGTCCTCCGGCCAGGCATAGCCCTCACGCAGGGACCAATCCATACCGAGCTCCAGGGCGGCCTCGAGAGACTGGATGGTCGTCGGGATGATGCCTTTTGAACCAACGCCGACAGGGATGTGGTCGAAGAGCGTCTGGGCGAGCACATCCTTGACGGGCTGGACATCCTGCTCCATGAGATTGGTGCGCAGCAGACGGACGCCGCAGTTTATGTCAAAGCCCACACCACCCGGCGAGACAACGGCTTGCGGGTCGTCCATATCGAAGGCCGCGACGTTCCCGATGGCAAAGCCGTAGCCTGAATGGACGTCGGGCATGGCGATAGAGCGTGCGACGATTCCCGGGAGTGAGGAGACGTTGGCGATTTGCTTGACGGCGGGCAGAAAGCCGCCCGAGAGAGACGGGTTTTTGGCGGCGCGCTCAAGCTCGGCCTTGACCAGCGGGGCGAGGACTTCGTTCACGTAAAAGGTGCCTGGGGCAAGCATGTTGGGGACGAAGCCGATGGAGATGTCGTAACGGCATGGGGCAACAAGACGAAGGTAGGACAACTCTTCCTCGTAGGTGCGACGGCGCGGCTTGGGGGTAGGCTTTTCGACCTCCATGGCTTGAAGGAGGGGTGGGTTGACACACTGGAGGCAGGTGGTTTTCGGGTTGGTACCTGTAGTCGCTGCTCTACAAATGGACTTGCAACCCCTTGCCCGTGCAAATGCCAGCGCAGGGGGTTGGGTCGAGCGATTGCGATTGAGAGTCGTCGGACGTGGATCAAAATCAAAAACAAAAACAAAAAAAAAACAAGGCCTGCTTTATCGACCACGTGGACACGTACCCACGACTCACTATGTAAGTACTGTAATTCGGAAGGAGATGTCCAGCAAGGCCGTTTCTGAAAACGACGCTCATCCAGCAACTGCGCCCAGCGGCACCACAATCAACGGCACCACAATCAACGGCACCCTCACCTGCAACGCGTCCCCTGCTACCTCTCGCCACCCGCCCAAATCGCTCCAAGCGATCACCTTCGCCTCGACAAAGTGCCCCACCTCCACCTTCCTCAGCTGCGCGTCGGGGTAAACCTCGTCCACGACCAGCTCCGTCCTCATCTCCACCTCGCCCCGCCCCCCCACCGGCTGCTCCATCACGAGCGCCGCCCCGGCCTTCCCCGCCACGACCTCGCCCTTGACGCTGACGTGCTCGACCACACGCACGGCGACGCGCACGCCGTGCGCGCCCGGGACGCGGGCCGTCACGCCGATGGACACGGGCAGCGAGCTCTGCGCGACGCGCACGCCGAGCGACGCGGCGATCGCCGCGTCGTTCGGCAGCGACGTCGTGTTGAGCGCCGGCGCGGGCGGTTGTGCGACTATCTGGTGGCGCGCCTCGCGCCTGTCGGGAAGGTAGGCAAGGTGGGAAGGTTGCGCCGGGAGAGGCACGACTTGCGAGACGTAGATCGTGTGCGCCGGGTGGGCCGCGGCTCTGACTAGCGCGACGGCGAGCAGGCGGTAGCGAAGATGGACTAGGCTTTCGGGGCCGATGGACCAGGTGTGCGAGTGCGGGAGGGGGGGGAGCGCGGTGGCGAAGGAGTAGGACTCGGAGGAGGGGGACGTGGCGCGGCCGCGGAGCGGGATGCGGAACGGGTCAGGGCCGTCGCGGTGGAAGAGGTGCAGGGGGGTGTCGTTGTGGGAGAGCTCGCCGAGGAACCAGAGGGAAAGGTTCTCGAGGGCAGGATGGGGCGGGTGGAGGTGGAGCGTGCCGGTGAGGTCGGGGGTAACGGTTTGGAGAGTGAGCGTGAGCGTGAGATCGGGGGAGGAGGGCGTGTAGACGGGCGGGTAGTAGTGCGAAGGGGAGAGGCCGGGGATGGGGGCAGGGGGTGGGGAGTCCGTCGTGAAAAGGGTGAGGAGGGATGGTGGAATGGGGGCGATGGGGAGAATGGGACGGGGGACGAGTTGGTGGTGAAAGGGGGAGAGTCTGCAGTCTGTCTGTAGTCTTGGCGTTGCAATCGCAGCTCCTTCGCCGCTGCCCTGGGCGCACGGGGAACGATAAGACAGAACCTGAGATACATCCCCAGGCGCCTCTCATTGGACGAGCGATGCACTGGCGCACCACGTTGCATCGGCGCCACCCGCACGTATGACAGGCCCTTTACATAATATTTGCATGAGCATGTGAGAGGCGCCCGCAGCACACACCCCCTGTCAAACGTATTCTGTCCTCCACCGCTGCCTCCTCCGCCTTCACCTTGCCAGTGCAACAAGCTCATCCATCCCGACCACCTTCACCCCCTCCCCGGTCACAACGCCCACCACCCCCCTCCGCCCGTCCAGCACTACCCTCACCCTCCCCACTCTAAGCGTTGGCACCCCCTCCACCGCCCTCCCGTCCCCTACCACCAGCAACCCCTCCCTCTTCGCTACCCCCATCACCGCCTCCTTCAGGCCTACCCGCCCTTCCTTCCACCGCTTCACTGCTTCCGCCTTCGCTCCCGCGAACCTATTCTTTAACAGGCCCCTCACATCCGCGCCACGCAGCTTCCTCCGAACCTCTTCCCTCCCCTCCACCCGCCCCGCATGTATCACGAACAAAATCGCCCCCAGCCCTCCTCGCACATGCCCCACTACCCCCCGTGGTAGCCACCCCTTCCACATTCTGTAATACTCAGCCCCCTCCCTCCACCCCCCGCTCTCAAACACAATCCTTCTCATCGCCCTGCACATTCCCACAAACATCCCCTCCAACCGTCCCCCCATCATCCGAGCGCTAACCACCGCACTCCAAACCCCCATTCTCTCAAAACATTCTGGCTTGGCCGCGCCTGCCTCCACTTCAGCCAACCTATTCACGTCGTCGCAAAACCACTCCACATCTCGTATCAACTTCACTGTCACGTGCCTCGCCAGCGCCATCTGCAGTTTCCGTCTCGACAGCACCCCAGTCCACCTTTGCACCAGCTCAACCAGCTCTCTGGTCCTCTCTATTCCGTCTCTGCTACTCCACTTCTCCAGCCGCTTCGTCACCTGCACCCTCACCCTCCCCAGCACTTCTCCCAACCCGCGCCTTCCCACCACCGGTAACCACGGGTGTATCCACACGTGCAGCGGTACGTCGTCGTCCTTCCATTGTTCTACACTCCTAACCAACCGCGGCACCAAACTCTCTTCTGCAAACGCGTCCATCACGGCATCCGGCATCATATCTCGCAGTTCCCGCAGCACATCTGCCACCCACGCCCCCTCCACCGCGTCCCAATCCGCCCGCATCACCACCCGTCGCATCCGCGGCAGTATCAGCCGCGCACATAGCGCTATATACATCTCTTGCATCACCACCCCCCGTGCTAGTGCTAGTACCCTTCCTACGTGCTTCATCTCTCGAATTCGACCCTTCCTGCTCTGCGCCCCAGCCGACAAGCACTCAGCAACCTTGCCCTCCGCCCGACTATACACCACCTCCACGATCGCCTCTGTTAGACACTGTTGCGCTATATATCGAGCAGCCCCCTTTCCCACCCAGCGCGCTGCCTCGTCTAACGCTGCCTCAAACTCGTCGTTCGGGGTGTCGTACGCGCGCTGCAGCGTCGTCAGCCGTGAGCGCAGCTCGTTCAGGTAGGCCACCGCCTCGCCGGCGGCAAGGGACTCTGCAGACAGCTTTTCGCGCTCTGCTGAAGTCGTAGCGCGGATCAACTTTTCTGTCTCGCGACGGCGATGTGCGGCGTCAAGGGAGGAGCGCGCGTTGTCGGTTAGCAGGCGCAGGTTATAGGCGATTTCCGGCACGGCAAACAAAGGTTGCTTGCTCGCCTCAGGCAGCTCGCTATGTCCTTCTTTCCCGCCTTTCTCTTCCCCGACCGCAAGCCGGGGCTTCCGTACTCGCACTGTGACTCCCTCCGCACTCTTCTTCCACTTCTTTTTCCTCGGCTTCTCCGTCTCCTCATCTCTCCTTTTCGTCTCCTCTTCCTCAGGCTTCCATTCATCAAAATTACCAGCCCCCAGGCCCAGTCTGGTCGGCCTAGAGACCGACTGCAACGGCGCATGTATCCCATCCGCATGGACCCCGAGGCGGCCTGAAAACCCTTGCTTTGCGAGGATCTTAGAGCCAATTCCGCGCGTATGCCGCTCCCATTCTCCAGGCGGCGGCTCTGGAGCGGCGGGGAGGGATGGTGAAGACGGCGTGGCGCGGCGACGTTTGCGCGATTTGGAGCCGCCGAAATTTGAGGGGAGGCCAGACAAGGAGAGAGAGGGGGCCGAGGAGGACGAAGAGGAGGAGGAGGATGTGGCAGGGGAGGCGGGGGGGCGTGAACCCAGACCGCGTCGTGGGGGGGAGAGAGAGGACATGGTGTCCGGGAAGGGGGCGCCGCGGTCGGGCGGCACGTCGGCGAGGTGAACGTGGGCGACCGAGGGAGGGGCCCGGACGGAACGAAATTGAGCCATTTAGATTTTGCGCCGAAGCCGAATGGAGGCACTGAATTGCCAAACCGCGCAACGACGAAAATCACATCAGCCGAGTCTTTCTCGTTAACCACCCATCTATATATATCGGCTCTCATGAATGCTCCTTGTCAACGCCTCCCCCCTGCCATCGCAACAACCGCCAGTCTCACGGACACGGGTCTTGATAGTGCAGAGAGTTCAAAGCACCCCGCCGCTCCCCCTCTGCCCGACGTCCACAGCAGCCATGCTCACTGCATCACGCGCCTCTGAAATGGCAAATTTGTCTTCGCCCCGCTAGCCAGTCCCTCGCCGCCTGCACGAGTTTCTAAATCCTCAACGTCTGCGCTTTTTCCCGCCGGGAGCGTCTCCTCTTGTCGCGGAGCGTCGATACCTTGTGCTTCGTGTTGTAGAAGTGCTGGCATGGGGGATCATGAGAAAAGTTCCTCGCTGACTCTACAATTTGCACCCCACCATTCGGCTCTCACGTTTCCGTGCAGGCCATGAGTTCATCTGCTTCTGACTTGCGCAAGAGCATAAATGTTTTGCTACTGCACGCAGTTTGTCCAGCCGCAACATCCGCTCCTGACGTTCCCATGCCGCTCGCCAACAATTCGGAGATGGGAGCGACTTTTCGTCAACTGACATTCTTGAACCACTCCACACCGCATAAAACGCACGCATGATGTGAGTAAAGCAGACTAATCTTGCATAAGGCAAGGACGCTCTGCCAAGAAGTCGCCTCACAGTAGACCCCACACCTTCTGAAGCTGAACTGTAGGCATCAAAGTTTCGGTCACAACTGGTTCAGATTCACAAATCGTGGTGCTGCTGTCCATTCCTATGTTTCATAGTCCTTTTCGGGATGTTGTGTATTTTAGTCTTAACGCTATCCCACGCCAATCTTCTCTGAGGGCATCATTTTTGTTGTCGTATTTTGATGCGTGCAGATTGCTTGATGCGTGCAGATTGCTTTTCAACCCAGCGGACGCCAACTGCTTTACATCGCAAATAGATCGATCAGTACCACTCGTTTGAGGCTTGTGTTTGCATTGATCGACAACTGATTACCCTCTCTGTTGCTCTTACAACAGGAATAGTTTAAATTCCACTGCAATGTCTTCTCAGCAGCTCAACTTCTCAGCTCAACTTCTTTGGGCCTTAGAACCTCTCGTTTCATCAACACTACTTGAAAACGAACTAGACGCCTTCTTCCCTCTGAGATGCCTGGGAATATGTTCTCGCTTCTTCTGGTGTCCTAATGTATGAAGCCATATTGCTTGTGTCTTTATAAAGAAATGCAGACACGATGAAGAAGAATGGCTCTTAAGGTCGGGCAGAAAAGAGCCCTGGGATCAATTTTTTAGTTACTCGCTTTCAAGCGGGGACGGGAGACACATTTAGAGCTCGAACGACATTGAGAACTTAAAGGAGGCCTAACTAGAAGGACATAATGTGAAAGGAGTCACACATACTGTATAGGTGTAATCTGATCAGTGTGAAATGAGACCATAGAGATTTTGACACTTGTTAGAATTGGATCCATTGTATGACAGCCCCTGTTCACAACGAGCCCTGCCAAAAGGATATCTTCGAGTGAGCAAGCATGAGAACGGCTCATCGTTTGATGAGCAATTGGTTGTTGGTAAGACGCACTTACCAACACAAGCAAGCAGAAACGCAGACCCAGGGAGCAGTGAGCACCACCGCGCCAAGGGTCACAGGGAAAGAGGCAACAGCAACACCTTGCATAGAAGGGGAAAGCTAAGGCAATGCAAGTGGATATAGAGTACCTCAGACGAGCGCGACAGTCTAAGAAGCAAGCGTAATTGTTCTCATTGCAAGAGAACGGCAAAAGGGCACGCGGCCCAATTCGAGATGGACGAGGGTGGGGCAGACAGCTAATTCCGATACGTGCAATCCGATATGTGCAACATGTATCTACAACTACGGAATTAGAGCAGCAAAGCAGTAGAACAGTACCGGCGTTCGAGCGAAAAAGCGGATACTTAAGAAAGAGGAATGAGCAGTAAAAAGAGGATAGAGGGAGAACGAAGCCCCAGCAATTAGTGCTGACCCATCTTTGCCATCCTTACCCTTCTGCCGCTACGCTCTCTTCATCAGGAGAGTGTCCTCTACCTACTACGCCCGTTGCGTCGGATACCGTGTTGACACCTCTACACATTTCCTTGCTCAATACGTTGCACTTACTTCCACTGTAACCAGCTCACCATGACCCATAACTTGACAATAGGACAGATAGGGTACTGTAGTACTTTAGTGGATAGAATTTTGATGGAAACAGGAACGTAAGTTACGGAACTCTAACTGGGGTCAATATTGTTTCCCTCGCAAAGACCAACTCTTTAATGCGCATCCCTCCGCTTGTTCCGCCCAGAGGACTTTTTTTCGCCAAAAACAGGAGACAGCTATCTAGGTGTCGTTCAGACTAATAGCGTACAGTACTGGCACCTCTGAATGCCTGCAGTATGTGTCGTCTGCCTTCAAACGGAATCACTTGCTAGTCACTAATTCTGTGATATCCCGATTTCTTTGCTAGCGCCCCCGCAGAGTTGTTTGGCATATTTTCTGTTCATTGTAAGAAGAGTGTCTCCACTTCGTTCGGGACGGAACATGCTGCGTATGCTGGAGCTAGTAGTACAGTACTGGGATGAGGACGTAATGTCAGGCAGGCTGTGTTCTCGCAGCTCACATGTCTGTTTCCACTGTGCCATTTATTCAATTTCGAACACAGCAACGAATGAAAGGTTATCGATGCTGATATGGATGTCTGGCCCAACTTATACACAGGCGCCCTCCTCACTGTGACAGCACCACACAAATATTCCTCGTACTGTGGAGAGCACTCACTGACCAGGCTCAGATTTCTTTTCTTGAGTCAGCTTTCTTCTGTGACTCCCTGCTCCATATCGATGATAATTTCTTCACAGACTTTCTTTTGGGGCAATCTGCAATTTCGTTTATAGACCTAGAAGTATGTTCGTTGGTTGTGTCTGTGCATGCTCTGGTGCTGTTCAGTGTGACAAACCCTGTTCGCCCCCATGCCTCGTCCCAAACATACCATTCCAGACCAGGATGGTATACAACCGCCAGCTGGTCCAGACCCATCGGACACGGGCTTCATTCGAGAGTTGATCGAAGAAACGAATCGATTTGCCGGATATCGATTTTTTCCGGGAGATTGGGTCGACCTTGGCCTCAGAAGCCCAGGCTTCTCAATACCTCCGGTACAGTTATATAGTACTTCTCCATCAAATACTGACTCTACGATAAGTGATCCAGAAAACGAGACGGAGGCTGTATTCTTCCAGCAATATCTCGGATGTGTCGTAATTTTGCACCCAAACAACGAGTTTTTTGACATTGTCCGGGCAGAAAAACAGTTTCAAGTCTCTGGACTTGTAGATTGTCGAGGTGTTTCTCTGAAGTTTCATTTGAGGCAAGATGATCCCAACTCCGCGTTTATCGGGTTCAATGGTGAAAATGGACATATTTTCCTCACGATCAATCTTCGAGCGGATTCAAAGTTCAAAGAGCACGGCATATTTCTCTCTGACAATCTTTTCAATGCAAGAGGGACAGGTACGACTTTTCTACAGGACATCTGGGAAGCCTACCAGTATTCTACAGTGTATGAGGGCGTTATTTATGAAGACAATGCCGTCGATCCAGAAGTTCATGAAAACCTTGTCTATCAGTTGAGGATGTTTGCAAATCGCGAACCTGCTGACTGGCGACCAGGAACGCAAATGACTGTGAGAGATATAGTTGACCCAGCGATGTTCCCTTATGTACACGGTTTCTCTCGCGTCTCTCACCAGGGCCAGGAGTTACTGCGTAGAATCAAAAGTTTGGATTATAGAGCTGCTTCGGAGGGAGTGAGAGACAGATGTGGGAGAAAGTTTTCGACAAGCGACTATCATTTTCTTCCCTCCGCGGTAGTGATCACTAAAACTGGCAGGTGCAAGTTCGAAACATATATCAACAACATATGCCGTTCTTTCTATCCTGAGTTGTATGACACATTGAGCCGGCTCTTCGAAATTTTCATTCCTCGTTTTGAAATAGTATACGCACATTTTCAGGAACTCCGCTTCTCTGGTCAAGAGCAATGCACGGGAAGTCTTGGCCCTAATGAAAATGAACACGTTTATAGGCCTGATCTGAAACGATAGACTCTCCGCGGAAGAAAGGTCTCTGTTGTAACAAAGGTTACTGACTTTTTGCCAAGAGAGGAGTCTATTGAAGATGGATTTCAAACGGAAGGTGTGAGTTCTGAACATATAATCATGGTTGGAATGTACATCCTCGAGAGAGTTGGAGGCATCGAAGGTGGTGAGCTGGAATTTTGTCGTCATTTTCTAGACTTTGAACAATCAGCCCTCCATGCATGTATGGCTCAGAATAAGCATTGGATGTTAGATCGGATCCTTGGCAAAGGTCTTCGACCACTTGGTAACTTATCGATGACACCGGGGCGCTTGATTGTATTTCCTAATTCCCATCTTCACAAGTTTTCAAGCATATTACGCAATCAGTTTAAAACGGATCTTGAAAACGCGACGTCCCCTATGATGAGAGTCATATATTTTCTTGTCGTCGATCCGGCAAGAGAGGTAATCAGTTCAGCTGAGGTGCCTCGCCAACAAGGCACATCGATGAGCCACGATGAAGCGAAGATTCATAGGTGTCACCTAGTTGTGGAAAGATCACAACTGCAGGAACGTCCAGCCTGCTACGGTGTATGAGCCAGACAAAGATTGCCCATCGCTTTTGCTCGAACGGGTCCCAACAACATCGATCACTATCTTGGCGTCTAACCCATAAGCTTTGATTTGTAGAAATACACCGAGGGTCCGTTTAAGAGAATTAGTGATGAGGACCGACAGAGACTACAGTATAAGCACTGGCTTTGAAACGTCTAGCTAGCTAGAGAGGATGCTAAAATCATTCTTACATCCAGACTTCACAAGCATCCAAGTTTGCATGCACATCTTCAAAAGATGGAATTCACATTCCTTTCACAAAACTTCCCTTGCGGTAGAAAAGAAGGCCCGTAACCGGTCTTTCAGCTAAGCTAAGCCGAAATGTGGTCATCATGAGATCGCTTGATAATTGGCGTCCGTTTTTGGCAGGCTATGTTTTAACGGTTGTCCATTACGCTTAATATATTTCACAGAAATTTAATATCTTCCTGGGTCGCCCAAACGTTTTGATGTGGGCTCACCTCTCAATTTCAGCAACGCAATAAAAATGACAGGATAAGAACACGAAAGAGTGGGCAATAGGAGTCGAGTTAGGGGCACTGCTTCGCCATGGTAGTGCCCGTAAAGGAGTAAGCGCACACAACGGATGGAATCTGCAAAGGGATCTTCAATTTCTCGTGCTAATAGAGACTTTGCACTCTAAGCAAACTGGAGTAAATCATGCGGGTCCCCAGGGGAGAACCCTACGTGGGTAAGAATGCTAGCATTACAAAACGTGGACAGGTTTCGACATGATGAGACAAGCTTTGACGGGCTTGCCCTTCTCTCGCTATGTCTGCAATGAAGGTAATGTCCATCCTGCTTGATACGGACACCATAATATGAATCGACGGGAGGCATGAATCATCTCTGGCGTGTTTGGATATGGGAATAACATGATAGCGAGTGCTTATGTCGTCACAACATACATATATCTTCCGTGAAGACCATGCTCTACAAGAGAAATGATTCGAGGAACCACATTAGTAGCAAGTGGAGTACGGATTTTGTCATGACAGTGTCACCAAAGTTAGTCGGGTAAATAACCCAAAGTTTTCTGTATCTTCGTTGGACGACGACTACCTTGGTAAGCTATCTATTTACATCTATTCGAACAACACTGGGGCGAGCCAGTAGGAGGCGTAAGGTTCTTCTGATGATTCGGTATGAGTACAAGAGGATGTAAAGGTTCGTGATGGTGCAGCCGGGATTTCAACAGGACCCGTGCGGCGCCAACGTTCTATATGATTGTTTGAAGCACTTAAGTCGTGTTGTTTATTAGCGCGAGCGCAAAAAACAAAAGAGACACTGGTAACTAAAACGCAAGTAAAGACGTCTGGACGAGAAAATGAAAAGCCTCAGTATTTCAGGAACGTGTAGAGCCAGAAAGAAAAAGGACGCCATTCTTCAGAGATCGTCAGGAATGGTGAGCTATGGTCCAATATGGACCTACTAAACGCAAAAAATCGGTGCTGTAATTCTGTCAGGAGCCGTAGTCTTCACAAAGACGCGCGCGCACATGAGATGAAAAGCTCCCTAATATTGCAATTAAAACTTGTGAAATGTGAGCAAGGGCGCACAGTTCGGGGCCTTGTATTGGGCGCCTCCGGAAATTATTTTTTGTGTCAGAGTCATATTTTTCTTTTTTGCGCACAAAAAATGAGTTTTGCCACGGAAATGCTTGCGCACATAAAATGTGCGTTCCCCTACTGTACGCATTCTTTTGCACGGTACGCATTCTTTTGTACTCATCGGACGCCGGCGATGACGGCGTCAGAGCTCTAACTACAGTGTGTGCTGCGAGCTAAGCTCAATCATGGCAGTGCGATGAGTGTTTTCACCAACGAGCAGCCACCGTCAGAACCATGAATGACCATATGGCTATTCTATTTCTGCTTCTCATTCAGAGCCAACGTCGAAAACAGGCCATAACATTCAGGCAAAAGTTGTCAGCCGAGGGACGAAAAAGAAGAGACCGCAGGATATCAAGAGCTGCCTTGCAGCACCCGTCGATGTCTACGTTTTCGGTTCTCTACGGATCTGGCTGTGATAGATCCCTAATTACTCTAACAGGGCTCGATCACCACGCATTTCGTAGACTGCTTGAAAAATTCGCACCCGCCTTCGAACGATTTTCTCCGTACTGTAGCGAGGGAATGATAAGGCTCCTCCCGCTGCGTTCGAAAAAGCGTGGTCGCCCGCGTTCGTTGTCAGCTTGCCAATGTTTAGGTCTCGTACTTTCTTGGGGAAGATCCAGGGGTTCCGAGATGGTTTTGTGCCTCATTTTCGGCATCACAGGCTCAGTTTGTTCGCTTTTCTTACGGTTTGGGAGGCGAATATTACTCCAACAACTCTCTGCAGACGACATGGCAGCTGTGCGCATGCCATCAGATGACGAAGTGAATGTCTTTAAGCATTCTTTTGCATCAAAATATTCTATGCTTTCTGACGTATATGCAGTTGCTGATGGGCTCAAGCTATATCTGCAGCAATCCGGGGACTCCGTTATCCAAAATATGTTTTATAATGGATGGACCCATGACCATTATGTTGGGAATGTTTTTGTGTTTGCCCCAAATGGAACGATTAAAGCGTGTGCGGTGAACGCACCCGGGGCGATGCATGACTCGACGATAGCAGATTGGGGTAACATTTACAAAAAACTGCAAGATGTGTATGATAGAACTGGTGGCCGCTGTGTTGTCGATTCGGCTTTTTCGAAAGGAAACCATCCGTTTCTTATCAAGTCTAGTCAGGACTACCTAATCAACGCTGAGCACGTGGAACAGGTTGCAGAGGGTCGACAGGCAACCTCCGCTCGGCAGGCAGCGGAGTGGGGTATGAGAGCGCTGCAAGGGTCATTTCCAAGATTGAAGGATCGACTCACATATGAAGAACGAGGAGAGCGAAAATCTATTCTTTTGTCTGTGGTTCTGCTGTTCAATTTTAGGACCCGTCTCGTTGGGTTGAATCAAATCTTGAACTCGTACATGCCCAACATGAGCGTCGACGCGAATTATTTTCTCAGCAACAACACCGTCATCCCTGAATAATGCTCCTTGCTTCGCCCTGGAGACCCCTCACTGCAAAAACACGGACACGGGAGCAGTCAAGGATGAAAATCTTCATCCTTGTCTTCATCGCCGCTGCAGACCTCACCTATGCACACCCGCATGAAGGCAATACACCACTTGGCACCTCCCCAACGGGACAACCGCCATCACAGCCGATGGCCAACAGCGCATCTTCCGCGTCAAACAGAACGACTTTTCCGCTTCCCTCATCTCTCAGCCATTTTCATTGTAGCCACGTCTATAAGATAACAACTGCGTCCGCTTTTCCAGGCCTGTCCCTGGCTTTGCCCGGCTTTCCCGGCTTTGCCCGGCTTTGCCCGGCTTTCCCAGGACACATATCTCGATATTGCCCATATCTCCACTCTCAATCACATCCGGCATCATGCCCCTCCCTCCTGATCCCTCGTACTTTTGGTGTGCTCATTGACCAATCTGGACGGACGTATTATCATTTCATGACCTACTTTCCCAGGCCATCTCTTGAAACTCACTGGATACGTCTGTCTCATGCCCAAAAGAAATCCGTCAAGGAGCTGCTCGAACCAATTTTTCAACAGTTGCGAAAAGTACCATCACCGCCCCTCGACAAAGGACGTTTGACTTGGGGCAGTGGAGTGCCAAGAAGGTGTATAGACACCAGAAGGTGGGACCGTGTTGCGAAAGAAGAGATTCTGGACGAGAAGGCATTCAACGATTTTCTTACCACGAGAGACCGTGGTCGTGGGCCATGGATAAAGATGGTTAGATCATTTATGCGCAAGGATCGTGCTTGTGCTATGACACATGCCGACCTTCATCCCCGTAATATTGTCGTGCAGTTAGTCCGGCGTAGCGAGAATGGCGCCAGTGCTGATTACTTGACACAGAAGGATGTCAAAGTGCTCGGCGTTATTGACTGGGATAAGAGTGGCTGGTATCCAGAGTACTGGGAGTTTGTGAAGGCACTGAATACCATCGTCGTGGATGATCCCATGCAGGACTGGTCACAGTGTCTTCCCCACTCCATTGGCCTTTTGGCCGGTGGAACGTTCTTTGGATAAAATGATTTCGCGCTGGTACGGCTAGAAGGAGATTTAACCCCAGGAATGTGACTAGAGCCCGGAGGCTGTAACTGTCGCACGAGAACCTGCTACGCGTTTGTACGAAATCAAGTCTTGGTGATATCTCCGGATGCCTGCCGTCCGGCGGCTGTCCGTGCACGCAGTGTGAGTCGGTCTTTTTCTCAAACGCTGCGATGATGAGTATCGGGAACAAAGCCAAGGTCTAGTGATAAACATTGACTTGGTTAATATCCTACTAGGCAGCTGCAATCCCGACGCCACGGCGATCCTGTAGTTACTGATGGCTGCTTCGCTGATGGAATGGATGTTGTCTACTCGAACGAAGGCGGTCTCTGCGTGGCGCTAAGCACGATCTTCTGTGTGTACAGTGGCCGTTTTTTTGGGCCTGGTTGTAAGGATGTGTTCGCATCCTCGAGGTGATGGGGGGAGATCTCGTCGCTACCAGCTGTGGTGAGATCATTAAGGATCTGGCCCTGGTTTCGTCTATCTCTACGTGCGCATTGAGGCGAGACGTCGAAGACGGTTGTTTGAATATCTTTTTCACCGAAGCCTGTACCATAGAGTTTTTGAAAACTCGTTGAAATTTTTGTTGTTCTCTGCCATGGGGGGGGAAGCGCTGCAGCGCTTCTGTGGCGGTCTTCGCGGTTGTGGTGACTCCTTTATTGATATTTGCGCGACCGGATCGGGCACTGGCTTTACCAACAGCTTGGAAGTTGATGGTGCGGAAGAAAGGCTTTGGAAGCCTTTATCGAGACAACGGGAGAGAAAAGACACAAGAAGGTGATCATGTAGACATGGGAGGAAGTTCTGATGAAGGTCTTCATTGTGGCTATTGGAATGTATGCATTACGTTGCTTAAATGCTTTTGGGAAATGTTACTTTATGAGTGCCAAGCCGCGATGGTGTAGGGGGACTACAGTGTAGTTCGGGATGTAGAGCTGAACGTGGGATGCGGGTCAAAATACTTCGGAAATGTTGCGGTATGACGCAGACAGCTTCTTGCGCAATGGAGTTTACGAGAACGGTAGTCCGCAAGCAAAGATGACGATAGGTGAGCCTGGTGTAGTCTTGAGATACTGTCGTCGCCTGACGGCTTGAATTTCGGAATGCAGACATGTCGTACGTAGCCAACCCGAAAAACTTCTGGGTAGTTAGGTATGAAACATGGTGACGTCGTCTAGCATTGGTCTATACTTTCAGAGTACATACATGTTTGCTGTATGGGGGGAATCGGCAAAGGCGAAGGCAAAAGTGGAAGCGCAGGAACAGCATTATCTTGTACTTTGCTCGGCAACCAGCTGTTGAGATAGCATCAACACTTTCATGCATCGGCGTAGCAGTTTACCGTGAGGTAGGTCAGGTCAAAGCTTACCTTTCATGGCTTTTACCCGCTTTTCCCCTTTACTCTTCCTCTCACCAACATCGTACTACAGTGATAACGTACTGCAGTCAAGCTCGATTACATTACGTGTCACGAACGTCACACAATAAAAAAGAAGCCATCAGACGGTTTGTGGTGATTGTTGCTTGTGCTTGCTTGTGCTTGCTCCCTCGTTAATTCCCACGCCCCCTGATGTCCAGTTGATGTGCAACGCAACACAAAACAATACGGACCCACCGTTCGGTAGACAACGGCAAATAGACATGTCTTATAACCTGATATAACTTGATATCCCTTTACAACACGCCTCCCAATGCTCCCCTCCAACGGAGAAGCAAAGATTAAACAACAAACAGTGGCGCCCTACGTGGACATGACACACCGTAACGAAACAAATCACACAACTAATCATACAGCTAATCATGAAGTGTCATCATCAAGCGCCATCATAAAGACCTGCAACCCCTGTCACCCCACAAAGGGCCCCCGCATTCTGCGGTACCATAACTCTACCCGTTATGACACTTGTTTCTATAGTACATCTTTCTAAATCAAGTACCCACTACTCTTTGTGTGTGGCCACACGTTGATGTTGTTTCATTTCTCTTTGCAGCTATGCTTCTTACTTGCTCCATCCTTGAGCATTGATCCTTGCTCGTGCATTACGTCAGATACGATTTGAACGGAAAACACTCCCAAGACATCGGTTTGAACAAGTGCTCCTAGTATGTGCACCACATACTGCATCCCCTCCCGCTCTAACTTCCTCAATCTGTTTCTTCCCGATGTGGCGTCACGTCGCAAATCCCAGCCTTTCCCCTTCCGCACTGCTCCCCCCTCCACCGCCATCCAATTACCTTCTACACACGGCAATCCATGCCGCTTCAACCATGCTTACCCCATACCTTCCATCAAAAAATCCCCGCCCTCACACCTCCATTTGAAACATTTCCATCCCACCCACACGAGCAACCCATTCAACAAACCACCCACTCACCAGTTTCAAAGCTCCCCTAGAGGGCACCCTTGACTTCCTCTCCTCGCATCGTCGTGGCAGCAACGTCCTTGGTAACTCGCGCTTTCGCAACATCATTCACGACGCCGCTGAGATGCATGAATCATGGCAATGCGGCGAACTCATCTGCCACGCATCCGGCGGCGGCATCCTCTACAATCCCTACGTGGCTCTCTTCTGATACGCTCTCCCTGCAGGTGCACTACCCGACATGATCTGGAGACAGCGCTTCGGAGATTACAAGAATAAAACCCCCTGTCACACGTGGTGGCTGAGATCCGTCCTCCAACTCGAAATCCTCGGCGGCGCACACTCCTGTGCAGCATGCTGCAGAGTCCCCGCAGGGAATCCTTCCGACACTCATGACACACTTTAAGAAATCATACTATGACACGCGCACGGGTCTTCACATCGCAAGGTCAAGTCTCCGAAGTCCTCACCCGCTCGCCTAAACCTACTTTTTAGAAGTCGGAGGAAGTGTGTTGACCCCCATACTTTTCGCAAGCACAAGCATCATCATTTCCATGAATTGATCGTGTCGTGTGCTCTGTGCTTCACGTCTTTGTCTATCTTCCTCTCTACGCTCTCTATCTTCCTGCCGCTCCCGCTCCTTTTGCTTCTGTTCCTCGCTTCTGCGTTGCTGCTCCTGCAGCATAGATAACTTGAAAATAGAAATAAGGTCCTCCCCGTCATCACCAATCCCAGTTTTGGACGCATGTTTTTTCCTCACAAGCGGCCGGGGCGAGCTGGATTTAATATTTCGGGAGGAGTGGCGTGGTGGACTCGTGCGACCTGAACTGTGGCCTTCAGGATTAATGAGGGCAGAGCTCGAATTGTCCGGCATAACTACTGCCCCATTTCGCCCATGACCTTCTCCTTCTGAATCCGATCCATCTCGTTCCATTTCTGTAAGGACCACTGGTGCGTGTTCCTTCTGAGTAGAGATGTTTGGAACAACTTCTTCTGCAAATCCATCCGCAAACTGCCCGTCTCCCAAGTCCGCGCGATCAGTCATCTTGTACCGGATATGCTTAGCCTTGCGAACGTCTTGAGGCATCAGAGGGTCTCCCGTTGGCATTTTCTTTCGATGCAAGGACGCAAATTTCCTTTTTAGCGAATCCAGAGTTCGGTCGCACTCGGGATATCTCTGCTCATGCAGCCGAAGAACGTGATCCCATTCTTCTTTACACAACGGGAGGTGTTGATCTAAAACATCCAACAGACTGTAGACCTCCTGCTGTGAAAACCCGCTTCCTCTTCCGCCAATTGGTGACGATCTTAAATCGCGAGGGATAGCATTTCTTCTCTTTGTGATTCTCTTTCTTGCCCCTGGTATGGGGTTGTTGGGATCATGAGGAACACGATGTGGAGCGGTGGATGTACGCATATGTAACGGCTGAACGGCAGTTTGGGCTGGCAAAGGACCTTCCACACTTTGGGCACCATATCCCGCGAGACCGTGTAGGGGGGGATCGGTGGTCGCTGGTTGAGGTTTCGTTGTTGAAAGGGGGTTGGGGTGGGGCTGTTTGTCTCTGTATTCTTTGGAATGAAGTGGACTTTCCATGGTGACCTCTTGATTGCGTTCATCGGCTGATGAGGGAGATTCCTCGCCGAGTAGTCGATCATGCTCGGCCATGCTCGGTTGGATGTAGATGGCGAGTGTTGTCGGCCGGGCGGCGGCCGACGCTTTCTCTGTGTACAGTAAATTTGGATTGTACGCGCGCACATTTTGACATTTGTGCGATACACATTTAACCTAGCATGGGGTCGCCCGTCCGAGAAAACGGCGCGTTGTGTGTGCACAACGCGCCGTTTGTGTGTCACAAAATCCCGATTTGGTCAACACAATTTGCGATTTTAGAATTTCAGGAGTCGCCCATTACTGTAGATGGCTTGCGGGTGGCTTGTAGATGCCTGATAGACTTTCCAGCAGTTCATTTCTTGTCAGGCTCAACGAAGCGACAAGTTCTGCTAGCATCACGAAGGGTGGTAAACCATCGATCTCCCTAAATGTCTGCACAGCCTGACTCTTCAACCAGTGCTGTTGTCTTAACCTTTCGTCAGATGACCTCCTTTCTCATCCTGTTGCTCATGTTCTTAATGAGATTCTCTTTGCGGGAAACCTCGACGTTGTGGTCAATTGAAATCTCTCGTAGTTGTATCAAAATCTGGCATTGTGAAGGTCATTGGATGCTCTACACTCGAGAATTCTATCTATTTCTGCAAAAGAAGGGAGGGAGCAGGCCATGAAATCCACATGGGCGCGTCTTATACTTTGTAGACGAATAGCAAAAACAGTACTCAAATATGTTTGATTCTCTCTTACCAATCACTGCTATTCATTGAATAGAGGGTATAGATGCTGGCTGTCCTCTGGTGGCCAACTAGAATGATTTAAATGAGAGCCCAACACTCAAAGGCAGGAAATTTTTTAACACCATATGAAAAATTGTCTCTCTAACGCTAGCGATTTTTAGGGAAGTGCCGACAACCGAAATATCTCTCAAGTGATTATATTCCAGGGGGTGCTAGAGTGCACCTCTCTGAGATAATAAATTATAAGAGCTCTGTCGCAAAGGGCTTGCATCGTATTTACGATTTAAACTGATGGCTGAATGGGGCCTTTAATTTGTCGTTTTAGATACTTCTGGTGTCTATCGGGCCATTGTTCTCGTATGAGGACAGTTTTCGGCATATTTTTTGATTTGCACTTTCTCGACAAGAATGAAACAGATGCCCCAGCTACCATACTTCGCTTCTGTCTTGAGACCAGAAAGAAATTTTTGAGAATTGTATGTTCTTCCTGGTCGTTCTTAGATATGTTTGAAAAAAAAAGCTTTCTTAATTCAACGTACAACGGCACGAAAAATAACTTCGAAACAAAAAACTCTGGTTTTAAAAAGGGAACTATGGATTCAATCTGCATAAAATTGCTAATCTTTCGTCGTATTCAAAGCTATTACCCCGGCGTTCTGCAACAAGCACGTTAAGGAAATGATGTCCAAAGTAGCGTTTTGTATGTTCAATTTAATTTTTATATTTTTGCAAAAAGCTGTCCTCATCGTCTTCATAAGAGGACAAGCCCCGGTCGGATAGACACTGGCTGGGCGCATCACTTTCAGAAGGTAGGGGTAGATTTCTAAACAACAGTCCAGCATCAAAGTCGTCGGCATTGCTTTGGTTTTTTCCAATTGCTTTGGTGACTGCCCCCACAACGTTGGCAATGTGCCGGGTACAGCACAAGATCGAATACAATAATTTTCACGCCGATGATTGACCTTTGCCGTTTCGGTTCATGATACAGAAAGGAAGTAATGGCCTGATAGATAGAAAATATGGAAAGGTTTCGGCCAGTCGCTTTCTTTTATGAACAAAGAGGTGTACAAATTTATGCTTCATTCGAATACTGTACACAACTATGGTTTAAAAAGCTGTTTCAATATGTTCATAGCATTCTACAGCACCCGTGTGGATGGTCAGAGGCCATTGCCATGTGAAGTAAATATTGGTGTATAACATATTTTCATTTTCGTGTCACAGACAGATAGATATTCCAGGGCCCATGCATTTATTTCCTCTTCGTACGCTTGGAAGGTTTGGATCAGTTTCAAAATGCTACGCAATATCTTTCGCGAAATATGACGGAGAATCGTCAGCTTTCCATATTGTCACCCTTACCAGGGAAATATTTGCAAGGAATTGACTTGTTTCATGCCAGACAAATTTCCCCCACTACGTTGTTACTCTGGTCGAAATGTACTTTCTTTCCATGTGTTGAGCCGTGATAATTTGTAAGATGCTAAGATGGAAGGCGTACGCTGGGGATGTATCACCTAATTCGTTTCTGGGCTAATTAAACAGCAGACACAGGAGCTCAGTTATGTCAATAGTGTTTTGATGTCACATGTTAGCTCTTGTGATTTGTCAAAATAAATCACTTTTCTCCGACTTACGTTTCCTGGAAGCATGCAGTGATTTGCAGTACTTAAATAGCATTTCCCTTTGGTGCACGTTTGCAAAAATGCCTTTTAACATTTTTGGCCTGAGGAGACTTTTTTCTCTCTTCAAATCTATGATTAATTTATTCGACCAAACGTAGCAGAATACAGTTGGATTGTTATCCGTAGCGCGCACTGATAATCAATGATTTCACAAGTGCAGGTTTTATGCCTTTATGTGAAAATTTCCGTTAAACATATGCAAGCTTGAACGAAAAGAGATATTTGTTTTAAGCGTTGAGGTCTTGCGTGCCCATCATTAAATGCAATTTCGACGAAAGTTATTTGACTATACTGCATTTAAATGATACTCGCTCTCGCTCATTTGCAACTTGAATAATTCCCAATGAAATTGAAAATCATTATAGGACCGTTTGTACTAAAATAGACATCCAAGAAAGACTTGCATGCCGTTATACGTTTTTCCATCAGTCGGGAGAGAAGTGTACACTTTCCTGCCAACTAAAACAGAGCAACTTTTCAAGCGAACAAGACTTCTTTTTTGCTACTTTTCAGTTTTCAGGGCTGGCTTTTTCCTTGCCTCTCCTTACGATCTTCTTATTTTTCCAAAGTCTCAGACTCAGGTGCTGTCTATATGCTAAAGTACGAATGTCTATTCCAATAATCAATTCGGATCATGTTCTAATAGATGTTAAGTTATCCTTCTGGCGCCCTTTGAGGCTTTTCCGTACGACCAACTACCTGTGCATGTATATGTTTTTGTTTCGTTCCCTTTGGAAGACTCCAAATTCAATCAATCTATCTTCAACCGTGCAAAACATGAATTCGAACAAAGTTTGGCTTAGACGACGACTTGTCAGGTATTGTCGACACTATTCACACTCATTTGCATCTCTTAATTGCAGTTAAAATTGTGAGAGAGGCTATGACAACAGGGTATGTTACCAAAAATAGGTCGTGTGCATAGGTTCGTCTACATCACGAAAAGTTTGAACCATGTATCCGAAGTCGTTAACATGAGCCCTTAAGCTGGAGCGACTCGATTATTCTCCTTCCATATTAATTACTACTTTTGCAGTCAGGGTAACCTTTTGATAGAAATTGCATGGAACAGTAATTGGTCAAAGGTGCTCAGGCTGTTACGTCAAATGGATTGACAAACTGTCGAAAGAGACAGTTAGGAGAAGGTGCGTCCTTTCAAATATACGAAATCTACATACTGTACGAAAATTTTGCAAGGCAACTGCTACTTGCAAGGCGACTGGTACTAGTTTTTCTGAGGCCCGTTTTGTGAGATGCAATCAAGAGATATTGATACATGAAAGTATTAGATAGAGTATCATGATCAAAAATAATTATTTTGCTGGTCCTTGAATGATGGTGTTTATTCTTGCAACAAGAACGCTTCTATTTTTAGGCAGCCCTTTGTGTAGACTCTCGGGAATATTGTATACCCTTCATATCGCCATCTAAGTCTTGTCTTCTGTGTAAATACTCTTGAGAAACTTGTGATGCATGAAACTGTGAGGCATAAGCAAAAAGTAGATGACGAGCCATGGAAGAAACTAATTTTGCATTTCGTGCTGAGGAAGCATAATAAGGTCCCATCCAATGCGAGCAGTACATAAATAGAAGAAAATGATTAGCAGTTTGAAGAGGTGATCAAACGGAATTGAACGATGTACAGTGATCTTCCCAACAACAAACAAAACTATGCAGTGCGGCATATAAGCATGTGAAAGAGAGTTCTTTTCTCTCTCTGTGTCTTTCGTCGTTGTTAGCCGCAATCTGTTTCCAAATAAAAACCTCTCTGCTGTATGATTCCATAATGGCTCCCGTCCCTCTTTTGACTTCCAAGCCCGTTTCTTATTTTTGCACGGTATACTAAACTCGAAAAGAAATTTATTTCATCAACTCCTATCCCTTTGCTAATGGGAAGAATGCAGGATTTATGATGTATATTTGCGACATGCACGAAATTCAGAGGCCTTGGCTTGAAGTGTAGTTATTCGTGGCACTTAAACCTCAAAACTATGGTCTCTCATTTGGTCAGTGGGGAATGAATGGGCATAGTTTTCTGGGAATGCGAGGGATACAGTACTACAGACTGCTCTACGACCAAGAGAAATTTTACACATTCGCGATTTTTTCTATTTCTAGGCGAAATTGATGAGAGAGAAATTCATGGAGGGGTGCGGGACGTAAAGAACTGCCATGTTGTGACATTTTTCTAGCAGCAATGCATTCTCACAGGCGCTCTGTGAATTCGCATCCATCCTTAGTGTGAAAGATGAACATTGTTTCCAGAGTGCGCTTCCGTTTGAGATTTCAAATGGAGATCTTCCGTTTTTGTGACACACATGTAGAAGCTCATTCCTGCTGTACACGAAGAAGAAATGGGGTGCTTCGGCGTGTGCGGAGCGCATTCTACTGCTATGGAAACAAGATCATGCATATGCGAGAACCGGTTTCCAGTTTCTGTGATCAGTATATGCGAGCCCGCGCGAAATGGCACAAGAGTCAATTCTTCATGACAAATTTAGGGAAAAGTTGTAGAAAAATTGTTTTTTTCGCACAGAATAACAAGGAGCTTGTGCTCCCTCAACTGGCCAGTGGCAACAGGCCAAGGGTTCTCTTCGACACCACATGTCGTCGCGTAGTTGGCCACAAATACTCTTCAATTTGTGTTTCGGATTTGATCCCAGAGTTTTTGCGGCCTGCGCGAGGTGGTATCATCCACGCCCGCGAGTCTGACCTCACGCCGTTCCTTTGTTCGGCCCCTGTTCGACCGAATTTCTTCTCCACCTTTCAGTCTGAACCGACTGCCGTCTCGAACTGCGCACTCCCAGCTACACAGCCTAGGAACAACCTGGCGCAGGTGCAAGACATTTTAGTTGCACTAAAATTCCTTATCGTTCTATTTCCACGCCGACAGCGGCCAGCGTACAGGGCGCACCAGTGAGGGTGAAGCAGTCCAATATGGAGCAAACGTGCATTTCATGTCGGTCACAGCTCACCTTTTTATCAAGTGTACCCATGCATCATCGTCCTTCGTTTTCAATACGAAAGGCATCTCCATGCAACTCGCTATCGCGCCCGGCGCTTGCTCGAGCAATTCGCAGAAAGAATGTCTCGCGATGTCGCACACTCCCACAGATGGCAGCGTCTGAAACTGAAACGGAAGGCAAATCCGACACGATCACAGAAGACCCTATGACGCGGCGGGTGCGCGACGAGCTAGCCGCGGACGGAATCAATCTCGATGAGCTGCTCAACGCCGGCAAAGTTGTCAACCTGACCCGAAAATTAGAAATGCTCACTGCAGAGTCTGAAAAGCTCACTGCCGGCTCACCTGAACTACAAGACGCCAAGCAGAAAATGTCAAAGCTCGAAAGCGACCTTGTCCGAGAGAAGCGACAAGTCATGCAAAACTGGCTCAAGCAATTGTTTCTTTTGCAGGCGATTGTCTTTATTGGTATAGGGGGGGTGCTCGCGAATGATGTTGTGCCGGGCGTCGACAGTGTCCCGCTCGTGGGTCGTGCTCTGGGTTTTTGGACGACGTGGTTGTTCACCATTCCTGCATTGCGTGCAAGGAAGGGGACGAGTAAGACGGAGAAGAGCGCGCTCAATGTTGCATTCTTGGCGACTCCACTTTTAAATGTAGCACTCCCGGCATTGACTAAGAATTGCGGGATTATTTGGGCGGCCGATGTAGCACTCCTCGGTGCCTGCTACGCGTTTTACGGTATCACGGCCAAGCGAGGCGCTGACGGTGACGAGGAGGGTAACCGTCCTGTCAAGGAGCAAGGAAAAGTCAAAGGAATCCTCAAATACTTGGATTGGGGTTCCTGGCGGTAGGAAATTATATATATTCACTAGCGCGAACGAAATGCGGCTGAGGACAAGACATGAGGGCGTTTACAAGACTTAAAGCACTAGTGTGAAATATTCGTGTACAAAAACTAAATCAGCACTCGGTGTTTGACCTTTTCACGGGCCCGGGAGAGACTCATTTACAGAACGCGGCGAGGGGGCGACCAAAAAACTCAAAAATGAACCCGATAGTAACAGAGGTTGAAGCTGTGTCAAAGACACGCGCTTACTTGGATGCAGGTTTGCTTGGATTGAGAAGTCTGCTGAATGGATTGGAACGATTGGCAAGCGAGCGATCAAACTTGGTATTGGCCTTGACAGGGATGTACCGCCAGATGACAGCCATTGTGGAGCCGACAAGAGCCATCCACACGACGGAGACGGCCGCGGGGACGCGGACCATGTAACGGCCAAAGTGTAGAGTGGCGAGCAAGAATCCAAAGGCGCTGCTCTTCATTGAGGTTTCAATTGCAGTTGTCCGCCGGGTGATCTCTGGATATCCCGCGGCAGCCATGACCGCGTACCCAAGAAGGCCTCCCACAACATGCAGCAGAAGGATGGGGATCTGAAGGTTCCAACCTGCTTGAAGAATCGGTTGTGCGCACTGCGCGACGGAAGATCCAACGAGAAGGCATGTCGAGACGACGCCAAGAACGGGGGAAAAGGGGAGAACAGCTCTGACGGCGCGATTGGCGTAGCGATTGAGGAACATGCCGAGAGCGATTGGGAAGAGGACGACCTGGATGGTGGACCAAGCAATACCGACAGCGTTGACGGGGACGACAGCACCAATAAGAATCTTGCTGATGAGCGGCGTCATGACGATAGCGCCGAGAGTGGTGCATGTAGTCATCATGACAGACAGAGCGACATTGCCGTTTGCAATGTATGTGCAGAGATTGGAAGCCTGCCCGCCGTTGACGGCGCCCACGAGGATGGTGCCTGCGGCAAGATCTGGGGACAAGTTGAACATTTTAGCAAGGGCGAGAGCGAGGCCCGGCATGAGCATGTAGCAGCCCATGAATCCGATAGCTACGGCGCCGAAGCGGCGGAAGACGCGGCGGAAATCGTCGACCGAGAGTGTGATGCCCATGGAAAGCATGAGGACTCCGAGGGAGAGGGTGAAGTAGGGAGTGGTAAGCCACGTGTAGAGGGCGGGCTTCCAAAGGGCAGACAGGGCGGCGAGGACGGTCCAGAGAGGGAAGAGGTTGGTGAGAATGGTGGAGAGACGGACGTAGAGATTCCAAACGCGGGAGATAAATGGGTTCGTTGGGGAGGAAATGGAAGAATCATCGGATTCGGAAGCGAGAGAGCTTATGGGCCCGAAAGAGGGGCGCGGGCGACGTCGAACAGGGCGGGGAGAGAGGGTGGTGGTGAAGGACGAGGCACGAAGGGGAGTTAGTGCGGTGGGGCGCAGGGCGGTGCGGGTGGGGAGACGGGCGGAGAGTGATGGAACGAATGCAAAGGAAGGCATGATTGGGAAAAGAGGGAGGGGAGGGATGGCGGTCAGGTTAAGATGCCGGGGGGCGGGGGGGGGGGAGGTTTGGTTCGCGGACGAAGACGTAGGGGGAAATAGAGACGGAAGGAGATTGAGCGAAGAAGACAAAAAGGGATTAACTTCTTGCCGATGCGATCGGTGCCTTGTGAGAGACGACGGGCGGGGCAAGGTGCTCGATCTGTGTCCTGTGTTTGTGCATGTTGTATGAAGCTAATTTTTGGAGGGCTCTCCGTCTCCCGGTCAACTTGCGCCTTCCCATTGGTGGATCTTCATGACACGTGTACTGCCGACCAGTCATGATTGCCAGCGAACGTCGCAAGGCCTCACGTCAATAATATGGGAAATCCGAGACTCCAATGCGCCGCCCCGATTGTTGCTCTGTACCCAAGGGTAACTTTCCCAAGTTCCCTCACGTGAATTAGCAATTCTCTTTCATTCTTGATGGAAGTCTTCAACACCAATTATTCATAGACAAGTCACTAATGTGTATCATACTCTCTCATTTTGTCCCTTCCGCTGGCTCAGCCACTCCGCTTCCCTCCTCTCCCCTCGCTCCCTCCACACCCCCCCCCCCATTCCTCTTCCCCCAGAGAAGCAACCATGATCAAGTCCGTCATCGTTCTCAATAATCATGGTCAGCCACGCCTCACCAAATTCTACGACTACCTTCCGGAGGACCGTCAGCAGCAGCTGGTCCGCGACGTCTTCGCCATAGTCTCACGTCGCAACGAGGCTTTGTGCAACTTCGTTCAAGGCGGCACCATCTTCGGCCCGGACGTGCGCGTCATCTACCGCCACTACGCCACCCTCTCGTTCGTCTTCTGCGTCGATCAGTCCGAAAGTGAGCTCGGCATCCTCGATCTCATCCAAGTCTTCGTCGAAACTCTCGATCGCTGCTTTGAGAATGTCTGCGAGCTCGACCTCATCTTTCACATGGACAAGATTAACTACGTCCTTGATGAGATCATCGTCGGCGGCCTCGTCCTCGAGACCAGTATGGCCGATATTCTCAGCGCTCTTCAGTCGGCTAAGAGGGAATCCCTCGCCACTACGGCCATCTCATCCGCCTCCGTTACTCGGTCTTTCAGTCTCTCACGCGCCTACAGATAGCTCTCCTCAACCACACTAACCCCTCCATTACTTTTATTTAAACTGCATCCACATCATTAATCTTCGCCGCCAGCGCGTCCGCATTAGCAAGTACCGATACCACTGCCCCTTCCGGCTTTGGCCCCCCACATGCCCCTTCTCTACTGTTTGCTACCTTCCCCAAGCCCACTTCTATTTTTCCGATGAACGTCTGGTACTGCTGTTCGCTTTCAAACAGCCGCCGAAACGCAGCCCGAGTCAAATTTTGCGAAAACATGCACAGGACAAAACCCAAGTCTACCAGCGTGCTTCGGTAGGTGCTCCATGCGTCCTCCTGCTCGCTCTTGTCGGTCCCGCACTTGCCTTCGAGAACGCTCGCCATTTCTTCTAGCATTCCCACTTTGTTTAGTGCCCTTAGCCACTCGTGATGCAACCGCCCGCTCTCTTCCCGACGAAGCGAAACCGCCATGCATTCCACCACGCAACCGTGCAGAATGCTGCATAGCTTGTTCTTTCGGACGGCCCGCAGCACGCATTCTGGGACCCCTGCATCCACAAGCGCAATTCGCGTGTCATCTGATCGCGACTCGAATAGGCTTCGAAACACTTTCACAATCTCAAGACTCAATCTTCCTCGCCCCTCAACCTCGTGCCCTTGGTCCAGAAGCCTGCAAAGCACCCCGATTTGACTCAAGAGTACTCGCTCCAGATCTTTCGTGTTGATCTTGCCAACAGTTCGTCGCGTGACTACTGACTTTGAGTCACCTGCGGACGACACCATGTCCAGTAGCTCCGCTACTGAAGATAACACACACACACCGGCATTACAGTCTTTGCCTTGTTCTGCTTGTCCACTACCTCTTCCGGTCTTCTCTGCACAGCTCAACGCCGCCCGCAGTAACCGGGAAGCGCGCTCAACGTTTTGAAACAAATCAATGTTTTGCAATGCTGCATTCAATGACTTGATGTGTTTGTTGCTGTACGAACAATTGTTCTTTGAAAACTTTGGAACAACGACAGATCGCTTGCTGAGTTCAACCAGACATCCCATTGACATTACTTGCAGTTGCCAACGTGCGCTACTATCTGTTTCCGCCACGCTTGTCTCACACGACTCCTCAAAAACGCGAACTAGCAAGTCACTAATGCCTTCTTTCCGAAGCAACGCGATTCCAGCTGCATTCGGTGCTCCGTACCGAAGTCCGTCTCCTGGTGCATCCGACAGGGCGTTTGCCGCACACAATTGACAAATAAAGTCAGCAGCTTCTGCCACACGAATTTGGTATCTGACAAAGGAATGCAAACAGCCTTGGCTTCCGGAGAGAAAGTCCGTTACATCGGATGGGCTCTCTGCCAAAATTGCCGCCAACACTTTAACCAAGCAGCGAACCTTAAACGAGTATGTTTCTGTTCTAGACCCCAAGTCTCCAGCGTTTTGCGTAAGGAATGTCAGGATCTGTGCTTTCGCCTTAGTCTGACTTAAAACGGCCTTTCTCAGGCGGGACGGGCCATTTACGTAAGCCGATGAGAGAAGCTCACTGTAAACACGATGTTTTGGTATGGCTGCAAACGATGACTTCATTGAAGCCGCCGAGGCCGTGAAGCCGCCGTTTAGAATGATTGTTACTCCCCGTTCCACAGCAGTGCTTGAGCTCAGGTATTTATAAAATTGGCTGCAGAGATCTTCTGGAGGCCGTTCCCTCAGCACTAAAGCCCTTTCCAGTACATCCTCAAGTCGCCTCTTGGCAGAAAGCGCTTTCCGAAGATCTTTCTCTAGAACAGCGCTGCTCACAATGGATTCTACCGTCACATCTGATGTAGTTTTCTGGCTATCGTTAGAAGGCGATGGAGGCACTAATATATCTTGTGATGACCGGCTGCTCGAACTTCCCTGATTCGTTGCAACTGCGTTCTTGCCATCTTTTTCTTTGCTGAAGATTTGGCGGGCGATCTTTCTCTTCAAACGTTTCCTCTTGACTTTCTCGAATTTAATACCCACACCTTCAGCTTCCTGAGCCAAAGACAAACCTGACTCATCGTCTGAAATATCTGGGCAAGGGCTTGGGTCAGAGCGCTCCTGAAACCACGGGTTGGAATCGTCTCCTTCCGTATTGCGCGAAAGGGATTTTCTCAGCTTGAGCGCGGCCAGAGGTCCACTGCCTCTGATAGACCCCTTTGACGAGGACTTCCTTTCGAGTAAGGCCTTTGGTCCGTACCAGGATGTGTCATCTGTTTCCGCTGTTGAAGAAGAAGAAGAAGCCATTCCGCTCTTCTTATTAAATATCCATGGCTCCGTTCCAGACCGCTGGCGGGAATTAGACACTAAGCGCCTGAAGCGACCGGATGCGTCCACAGAGCGATTCCTCTCTGCGAAGAGTCGCACCGGGATATCGTCTAAAGGACTGGTCCGATCTCCGAGGCGCATCAGGTGCCCAAGAGGACACTTGTCCGGACTTGATGATGACTCTGCTGCACTTCGCACCTTCTTGTCGCGCACAATTAAAGCACTGTCTGCTGAAGCTACTCTCATATGGCGAGGAGCAGGGTTTACTTGTGCCAATGTGGCCTTAGAAGAGTTGCTGTTGTCAGTATTGAGGGATGGACGATTTGCTGTTTTCTCGGAACAATTCAAAGAGCAGTTGCTAAACCCTGTCATAGGTGCAACCGGGGTTCGTGGAAGACTTGACGAAGACGTAAGCTGTTCCGACCTATCAACGGCTGGTTCCGTCACAGCGCTGTGAATCTCTCTATACAGTATAGATCCTTTCTCTTCCTTTTCTGGCTTGGCTTGGTTGGTTGCGAGAATTTCTTCTGATTCCCCAAAGAGCTCATCAGCGTAAGGGGCCTCAGGGTACTTGAAGGGCGCAAATATGTTTTCTGGTCGTAGTGGCTCTCTTCCGCGGCTTTCTTCATTTTCATGGTCATCACTGACTTCCAGATTGATGGGTTCGTGGAGGCTTTCCGAAGATTCTGGTACTTTCACCTCACCGATACTTGTAGAACTCTGGTGCAGGCTATCGAGCGCAGTCTCTTCGTCGCTATTGTACTGACAAAAACTGCTTCTTTCCGCATCACCTAGACAAAAGCCTTTTCTAGGACTCTGCGGAACCGGCCTTCGGATGTTAGGGGCAAGACCTATGGACTCTTCTCTGTGAAAAGAGGTACCTTGCTTTTGGTCAAAAGAAATTGGGCGAAAAAACCGAAAAGGCTTTTCGTTGGACGTCATTAGCAGAGAAGACTAAACAAGAAAAACGATGCGAAGAAATTCGCTCGTGACTTGAAGAAATCTGAAATGCGAACAGAAGGAATTGGCCCTCTCCCAACAAGCAAGAGCCTAAAAGTCTTGGACAGGATACTTTTGGGAATCGTGGAATGTGCGTTGCTTCTCTCTCAGCTAGTAGCGAATACAAGCAGCAGTCAGTCAGACGTGTAGTGGAGCGTGTTTAATTGAAAGACAAAGAAGCTGCCCCGTGGTGATGCCGACACTGTGTTTTAAAAATTGCTCGGCAAGGTGGCGGACAGCGCTTGTCAACTTTTCCCCTGAATTTGCATATGAATGCAGCAGCCGAGTTTTAATCGGCAAAGCATCACTCGCTAAGGGTATCATGTCAAGCGGTGAGCCATTAGATTCGGATAGAAATGGTTAATATTTTTAACTCTACCCTTTAAGGGTAATGCATGACAAACATAGGCACACGGGTATTGCGAGCCAGTATCACACAGATTTAATCACAGCATGAAGTACATGACAAAATATGCTCTCCTCAATGTACAGGCGATGAAGCGCACTCATTTCAAAATATTGATGGCATTGGTGAAGTACAAGGACTGCTCTTGCGGCGGCCAGACGTTTTGCTCAAATTGTAAAGACGCTGGGGTCATGATGTAGGCAACTATGCTCTGCCATACTCTGAAACATTGAGACTACGTCCACCCAGGTTTCTATTTGAGAAAGTAACACAAAGACGTACTGCACAAAGCTGTGAACAGTTGTGCGAAAGGGAGATGACGAAGGCGAGCACAACTTTGAGGTTGCTTCTTTGTTACAGTAGAACTATCTCCAAAAAAAAGCCTTTCAAAAATTTCTGAAAAATCCACCTTGGCGGTTTTGGCCAAGAAAATGTCTTGAAATACAACCAACCATCTCCCCTTCCGTTTCCGTATCTTCATGTAGATCCAATCAGGTCGAATCCTAGCGCATCTTCCGCCCAAGAAGTACCTGCCTTACTTCCATTGAGCGCTCCCATCAGATAAGCTACACGTCGCCCCAGCGCCATCTCCACCGAAAGGAAAACCATTATGCAGTCATTCCGGTCAGTCCAACGTGTCGGGTCGCAGTTCTACGCCCTGGGGAAATCCACCGGCATTAGAGCATCCTCCACCAACATTGCAGGTGGAGGGTTGGGAAAAGCATGGGCCGACAAAGAGCATGCTGCCGAGAACCAGTATTTCAACCAGAAAGATGCGGAAGTTCTTGCCAAGCTTGCCAGCAAGCTCAAGAATCACACAGCGGTACGTTGATCGTCAGACTCCGATTTGCAGAAGGGGCCCAAAACTGGGCTCTTCCGTCGCTCCAACAAATGAGTGCGAAGCAAGCATGTTCCAGTACTAACTGTTTCACACTTTTTTCGTTTTACGATTATGGGATGCCGTTGACGTCGATCACAGCCCACACCCGAGTCTCTAGCTCAAGAAAGGCAATCCGTGGCGGATATTTTCGCCAAGCACAACACCACGCCATCGGATGCACTTCTTGATGAGGTAAGTCACATGTCTAAGCTACCACTGAATCGAATCAATGCGAAGCACTCGATTTCCATTTGATGTGGAACATAAGCTAACAAAACTTGGCAACTTGGGTTCGGCTCTTGATTTCTGCAGTTGGTGAAGTTCAAGTTTAACCATTAGGAGTCAATCGTCTCTACACAGAAGCGAGCAGTAAAGATCAGCAGATCGTGAAGAACGAAGCTGTGCAGTTACGGCGCACTTATTTCGCAATTGCGGTACCTGGGTACGTTTCTGACTACTTATTCGAGTAGAATCAAGATTGCCGATCCCAGTCGCAACTTGCAACGAAAGCATGAAGTAGCGCATTACCAGCAGCCACAGAGTTCGGTCAATCCCGATGAGATTTTCGACCCCGGCGAACACTCATCCTTTTGTCTCGGAACGCCGCGGCACTGCTTGAGCTCCTCCCTCCTTCCCATACACGATGTAGTACCCTACGCGCGCCAGAACACTGATACCTACCGCGATGACAGCAATGTTGCCGTAGAACTCAAGTCTAATTCAAGCAAGTAGATGAGAAGAACGGGATCATAGCCTGGTCAGTTTTCAAATATGTGCTGGGTTCCTGGGAGGGCTGTGTACACAAAACCATCAACTTACTTCTTATTCGAATCGACTTCTTGTTTCGCTTTTCGTAAAATCTCACTCTCGTAGATCTGATGATGTTGACATGGGAAGCAAGACAGAATGAGCACAGCCATGGTCAGGTACTGTCTTGGCAAATGAGCAATAAACCACTTGAGCTAGATTGGAAAAATCCGTCTGAGACTGTTAGAGAATGAAGGTGAGGGACACATACCGGCTTTTCGAAAGGAAGCTTCTGCGCGGCAGAAGAATGAGATGTACCAGAGAGCATTCTCGAGAAAGACCGGGCTGACGTTCGAAGCGCCATTTCTCCAATGGTTGGTATCGCCGCACCAAAATAGAATTACACACGCCCGAAATTTCCGCTACGGTAAATTCGCAGTGTTCAGTGGAATGCGTCTCGTCTCACTCGTCGCACTCAGCCGAGTTGAAATGTCCCTGACTCCTTGGACACTCTTCGCCCACTCACCCGCAACAAGATGATACTGCGTCCGAATGATGAGTGTGGCATTGCTGTATATGCCGACATGTGCGGTACCCTTACTGTAAGAGTACAGTTCAGTTTTGTACAAAACCCACTACTGTAAATTAATATGTTCTTTAGCTGCCCCGCATCTCGTGTACTTCCGGTACACGTTTTACACGGATGACATGAATTTGGCGCGAAACATTGCCATGCAAGCAACCTGGGTCTGCTCATTCCTGCGTAAACTCCCACAATCGAGGCGCTGGTCAGCTTCTTGGCAGTCCAGGTGTGTTGGTCAGAGTGCGTGCCGGTAAGAGTGCGTTTCGATCAACAAGAGATTGCTTACTCACTACCTGCGATTAGTGTCAACTCAAAAGAAAAGTGCTGCACTGTTGATACGTTTCAGCTTTGTGGACCCGTTGTGTCGGGAAAAGAACAACTAAAATGACAAGGAGCCGTTCCCGCAGCTTTTCGCAGCGTCGTGCTTCACAATCCGAGGAAATAGAGCGTATTGAAATTGATTCGGACGATGAATACCAAAACAGGGGGGCACCCATGCGGAAGGACGGTTCGTCATCGCTTCCTGACGGCGGCTTCTCAGCATTGGCGGAGGAGCAACAGGATGAGCTCGTGAAACGCGTGATTCGTTTAATGATCTGTCGAAACGCGGAGAAGAGGCCCGTGAAGCGAGAAGAACTATCTAGACATATGTTTGCAAACATGGCGCCTGTCAGATCGAAGAGTAAGGTCTTCCAAGGCACATTCAACGTCGCTCAGCAGAAGCTTCGCAGTATATTTGGAATGCAGATGGTTCTTATTCAGAGGCAAGTGAAAGCAAATCAGTCCGCATCATCACGCACGCAGACACAGTTGACGCAAAGCGGGCCCGTCGGGACGAAGGGATACATCTTGGTTTCAGTCCTCCCTCCAGAGTTGCGTGCGGAAGAGAGGAAGGACAGGGCCGGGTTTGGTTTTCTCATGGTAGTGGCGGGAATGATACTTCTTGAGCCTGGATGTCGCATCGAGCAGGGAGCGTTGTACAGGGCTTTAGGAAGAGTCGGGGTGCACGTCACAGAAAAGAATGGTCACCGCCAGCTAAACGGTGGAAATGTTAAAGAATTGCTGGAAAGTACGTTGTTGAGACAGTGGTATCTTGAACGAGAAAAGGAGGACCAGACGTTTTACTTCATGCTTGGACCAAGGTTTCGCGCAGAAATTGGCCCTGAAGACCTCGTGGAATTTGTCGGTGCGGTGTATAACTTGAGCGACTCTAAAACTGGAGGCTTGGATGAGACTTCAAAGTCGGAATTGCGAAAGAGACTGGATGACACGAGCGGGATATCGCAAGAAGATGTGGAAGGGGAGGAGGAGGATTGAAATTGAGGGTCACATTGATTTGAAGAGCTCTTAAATTTACATCTGGTATAACTACATTGAATTGAGCATCACTCTCACAAACGTAGTTACGTTGGGTCAGGCTACTGAGGAAAAGATATGACATGGGCATTGGTTTGAGTACGTGACGGTATAGTAATGTGGAGTCAGTTGCAACTGAAATCGAAGGGGACAGTGAGGGTGTCGGGGCAGACAGATTACTTTGAAGCGCGGATGTAGTTGGGGAAGAATTGTATTGGTCGCACGGGAAAACAATGGTGAGGGTATGGAGGCTCTCTGAGGTGCAGTGCAGAAGACGTAGGGACGAGCAGCACGGGTATCGATACGTAAGGTTGAACTTGGAATGCCAGCAGGCAGAATGAGAAAGCGCAGAAAACTGATCTATTTTGACCGAAACAGGCTACAGTAAGTATGATGTTATCACTGGCGCGCTCGGAGCATGATATTCGTTGTTCGGTGTGTGGCGAGGAACGTTTTGGTAAGGCGTTGAAACAAGCGTGCGGAGTGCGCAGATACTGCCCAAACCTAGCTATCTTTTGTGACTTATTTGGAATCAATTCGCCGACCGGGGACACTGTTTCTCTCTCATTAGGGACAACGCGTGTTTGGGCCTGTTCAGCGACCAACTCATACGAAGGAAGACGTACCTGCATAGTGCCTACGCGTCGGCCTACTCGTCCAAGGAAAGACACAAGAGAGACTAGACTAATGGATGATTATTGATTTGCCTGCGGACATCGAGATACTACGGATCAGTGTAAGGAAATGCAGAATGCTCGTACAGTAGCGACATCTGCATCTAGGTGACAGTGTCACACTGCCCCTTGATTCTGATCAGAGTCACGCACCTCCCACGACACGGCGTCGGTACACGTTAGCGGAGCCGCCGCCACCCCAACCTGTGGCGTCCGCCCACCTTCTCGCTCCAATCCATCTGTCCCGCACTCTCTCTCTAATTCTGAACAGGTTCAGGGGCAGGGGAAAGTGTCCGCGATGATATTCTCGTGCGTGCTCATCTGTTTCTCACTCGGGCCATGTCATTGTTTCTCCGTCCCCTGTTCTAAATCTTCGTGTAGTTTGAACCTCCTCCATCGTGACGGACCGACTCCCTGTGATGCCACGAGGACATATAGAAAAAAAGCCGCATGCTTATTCGCAACCTCTTGCATCGTTTGGCCAGTTCAACATTCTTCATGATCACGACGAAGCCAATAGCCTTACAGGTACAACACGAATCAGTAGCCACTGGTTGAATTCGGTTTTTATCGCGACACAAGCGCGAACAGACCGGCGACACAGCCTTAGCTTTACCTGCGGTTCTAGTGGCACGAACGCAAACCAAACAATCAGCAGAGAAAGCTCCATAGCCAAAAGGCAACCTTTCCAAAAGTTGTTGCCAGCGCGAATTACGTGGCGAATCGGCGGGCCTCTTACCAAGATGCCATGAATGAGTCGAGTAGTCGTCAACCAACTGCGAAAGCTCATGTGATGGTACAAAGCCGCACGACGCCTCTGCACAAACCCCGAATCAAGTACCGAAGGCACCTACGGTACTTATGTGTACAGTATAGACACAGGCCCGCACTCATGCCGCCGTATGTTGCAATCTCAAAAATATCTGTCAGGATCCACAGCTGCAGTTGCTCGTCACGATGCGTGACACAGCCCTCCGTGCACCTACAGTTCTGACCGTATTCCGAACTTGCTTCGCCGTCTCCGTACGATTATTATACGCCCTCACATTCGCTTCCTCTTCTTGCAATTGCTTTCACCACCGACAACGGCCCTTCTCCTCGGGTATGCCGTGAATACCCCTCAAAGCTGAGGCCTGCGTGTCGATAAACGACTGTCATTTGCCCACGATTTTCCTATTTAGTCTACGCAGCGTTCTCCAAATCGCACGCACTCGTCCCTTCCACAACAAATCCCAACTCCCAGTCGCGTCTAAGCAAATCTACTTCTTGCTTGCCTCACACTACTCACTTCACGATTCCTCTCAATCTTCTTTGTGCATACCCTCTTGGTTTCGTACAAAGCAATGTGCCGCTTGAGCGCATTTTTTGGAGCTCCGATCTGTGCCGCCGACCTGGTTACACGCCCATGCCGCAGCATTATCACCCAAAGTTTTGATGCGCGTGAGCGTTTGACCGGTGATGCCTCAACCCCTGGGTATCTCAATGGCGATGGTTTTGGTCTCGGGTGGTACTCAGACGATCCGGATGATGTCGTTCCCTGCGTTTACCGTCAAGCTAGGCCTGCTTGGAACGACCCAAATCTCGGTTCCATAGCAGCGAAAGTGTATACCCCAGTCCTCTTCGCTCACGTCCGCGCCGCCTCCGTTGGGCTCGATGTTTCTGAGACCACGTGCCATCCCTTCAAATATGGACGATACCTCTGGATGCACAACGGCGGTCTCGGCAACTTCGCCCGCGTCAGGAGAAAGCTGTTGCCCTCTTTGTCCGATTACGCCTTCGATTTTGCAGTCAGTAATGGATCCAGTGACACAGCTCTGTGCTTCGCCGTCTTTCTTAATCTCATCGAAGACACAATGGCCAACGGCACTCCTGGTAAACTTCGTCAATGTCTCGAAGAGACCATCCTTATTCTCGAAAGAACCTTGAAAGAAGTAGGGGCTACCGAGACATCACTGCTCAATTTCGTTGTGTCTGATGGTGAAAGCCTCGTGGCCACTCGCTACGTTATCAACTTGCAGAATCCTGATGCGAAACCGGCGAGTCTGTACTATGCTTCGGGGAATAGCTATCAGTCCGATGGCACAGCCACTGGTCACTATGAGATGAAACACACTGATCGAAGACCATCTCTAGCTATGGTTTCGTCAGAGCCGCTTACAGAACGTCGAGCCGACTGGGTCACAGTGCCAAGAAACTCTACCATCGTGATCACGAAGTCGATGCACATCTTGATATCTCCAATTCGCGAGACTCCGGATAACCACATTTCTAGAATCCTTCTCAATGTGGGAGAGTCGCAGTACCCTGGCTGGAGGAACGGCGGGATATTCCATTCTCGAGGAAGGATGCAAAAACAACTAATGGATAAACGAGGCAGGCAGGAGATCAGCAGTCCCTCCCTCAGCAGTAGCGCCTTTACGGTTGGGAGTACAGTGCGTGCCACAATCACAATCCCGGACAGAACAGTGCTATGCTGCACCATTATGGAGCCATTTCTTTTCAGCGGCATGGACGACGGAACAATTCACGTTTGGAATATGGACGACAGCGTGCTGTCTGAAGTGCTTCGAACCGGAAGAAGACCAGTCTTGGCGATGTTGACCATATCTGAGGCAGGCATCTTAATTAGCGCGACTTCTGCTTCTACTGTCACAGCCTATCGCATGACATCAGATAGGCGATTCGAGGCCTCGTTCGTCGTTTGCTGTGAGGGTAAAGGCGATGTCATGTCGCTAGCAAGAGTTGGAACGAAAATTTTTGCAGGTTCATCTGACGCGAAAGTCCGCTGTGTCATTGAGGATATATTTTCCGTTGAGACTTCTTCGTCACACGAAAGGGAACCTTCCATCGACACCTCGTCCGATAGAAGCTCATCTTTTGCCGATATTCCGAGGGTTTATGATGCGCATGATTTCCCTTCGAGAGGTGCTGAGGCAACGCATTACGGATTTGTGTTTGCAATGACGTCCTGTCTGGAAGGGCGATATTTATGTACAGGCAGTGGCGACGGCCTTCTCCGAGTGTGGGATATGGTCAGCGAGGAATGTGTCCAGACACGTGACGACCACGCCGGTGCTATTCTTGCGCTTGCAGCTTACGAAGTAGTCCAAGGCGTCATGCTTTTTTCGGGGTCCAGAGACTGCTCCGTTAAAGTCTGGGTTTGGGATGGAGAAAACGGCTTCATATGCAAGCGCACCCTCCGAAAGCACAAGGACGAAGTCGTTTTTTTGACTCGCTTCGGTGATAAGCTAGTGTCTGGGTCGGCTGACGGGCACGTTTGTGTGTGGTGTACCCAGTCTCTTGCATTATTGTGCCAGTATCGAGATAACACTCTCAAGGCAGGTGCAGTGAGTCTCAATTCCAAGCTGCTGTTCACATCTTCTGATGAGGGTACAATCTACGTCAGGGATATCTTGTTGACTGAAAGAGACCTTGGCCGACGGGATTCGCTTTCGCGCACTAGTACGGGAGAGTACGGCTTCAACCAGATAGAGAGCATTTCTGATGCAGCTGAGCAGGGATACGATGATGTAGCTCCAAATGAAATCAGTCCGGGTCATGTAGTTTCGAAAGACGCGATTCAGTGCGGGCTGTGTGTTAACCCTACCACCTCTGCAGAGCTTCTTGTATCAGAGGTCCACGAAGAATTGGACGAGACGGAGACTCTGGTTCCTGGTGTAACAAACGAGATGATACTGGCTCCACCAATGTCCCCCGTCACTGGGTGCGACAAGACACGTGAAGAGCTGCTCTCCACGATTTTAACGGAAAAGGAGAGCGCTGCAAGCTCAAGTAAGTCTTCTCTTGAGGAAAGAGGAAAATTTCTGGACCCAAGCTACTCTCGAGACAGAGCGGGTAACGAAGGTATCCTGTCTTCGCAGTCAATCGAACGTCGACTTATTCAGGATACTCTAGCACGCTTTCTGTCGTTTCCAACTGTATCTGGTACAGAAGAGCACTGGGAGGATTGCTGGCAAGGTGCGCGATACATTGGAACATTTCTTGAGGGCTTAGGGGCTAGTGTGAAGTACTTCAGCACAACTCCAGGAAAGAACCCTTCATCCGATAGTTCTGGGAAAATGCAAATCTCGCGACAAAGTACGCTTGCCGGGTCGAACCCAATTGTGCTTGCGAAATTTGCAAGCAGTAATCCATCTGCCAAAACTGTGACATTTTATGGGCATTACGACGTCATGCCAGTGGATTCAACTCACTGGCGCACAGATCCTTGGACATTGACGGCAATTGATGGATACTATTATGGAAGAGGAGCAACCGACAACAAAGGTCCTATCATTGCGATGATCTTTGCGATAAAGAAGCTTCTTGAGGAGAGTGCAGAGGGTCTCAAGTCTAACTTCGTCTTCATTCTTCAAGGAGAAGGTGAAACATCGAATGCAGGTTTCAAAGAGTGTGTAAAGTCCCACCTCCACTGGTTTGAGAACACATCTCTTGTCCTAACATCGAATTCGTACTGGCTTGGGGAAGAAAAACCGTGCATCACGTACGGATTTCGGGGCCTTATCGAGCTCAACGTTTCCGTGACGGGAGCGTCTCGGAACTTACACTCAGGCGTCGATGGTGGAGCGATCTTCGAACCAATGACAGACCTTGTAGCGGTACTGGGAACAATGACTAGCGCAAGTGGCGGGGTCCGCATTCCTGGTTTTTTCGATGATGTCCGGCCTCCCACGGCAGCTGAGAAGAAACTCCTGCAAGACACTGACTTCACGGTAGAGGAATATCGGAGCGGAACAGGAGTCAGTCGTTTCACTTCAGACAACGCGACGGAAATCTTGGAGTCCCGCTGGACGAACCCCTCGATATCAATAACATCCATCGAGACTAGCAACGCATCCGGCTTCTATTCTGTTGTACCGCGGAAGGCAGAAGCAAAAATTTCTATTCGGTTTGTCCCTGACCAGAACCCATCAAAGATAGAGAATGCCGTGGCAGCTCATCTACAATCCGAAATTGAAAAGCGTCGGTCACCAAATGCCGTAGAAGTAGAGTGCGTGAACAAAGGCGATTGGTGGTTAGGTGACCCTTCCTGCCGCCAGTTTCAAATTGCCGAACGAGCAGTTCGGGCGGTGTGGGGCATTAAGCCAGTATACGTGCGTGAGGGTGGCAGCATGCCATTGTTCTCATATTTGGTCAAAACTTTGCAAGCCCCGCTTGTACAAATACCTCTTGGACAATCCTCCGACGGCGCGCACTTGCCAAATGAACGTATTCGGAGTATCAACCTCTTTCGAGGAAAGGAAGTGCTCCAGCGTATCGTGCGAGACTTCGCTGAAACAAGTAAGTAGAATGTGGTGCGAGATGACGATAAACTAGAGTCATTGAGGCATCAAATATCGAACCCCTCCCTGCGCAAAAATTTCGGATCAAATGCCTCAGTGTTTTCATCCTCACTCACCCTCTTGACTTCGGGATATTCATCGATGAAGACCTTATCAATGCCTTCGCGTACACGTTTGTGTGCTTCGATTTCCTGCTGTGTAAGCTCCTGAATTTGCGCTCTCAATACTTCAACTCCAGGTGAAGAAATCAGAGCAAGTTGAAAAAACTCTTCATCTTCGTCTCGGGTACTAACGTGCTCTAGAATCATTTTCACGCCGGAAGTCCTAGAAATAGGGATCATAGAATCCCCAAAAGGCAAGGACACGGCTACAATGACGTCCCCTTCCGAAATCAAACCTGTCTTGGCTGAGTTGCCATCCGGAACCAGCTCGTCTATAAAGACCTGTCCCGATGCGGACTCCTCGAGGTACGCGTCCAGTGGGAGGGGAACGGACACAATTCTGGCTTCGCGCAGAATCGTTTGTGGATCTGGAATTTCAAAATTATCCTCTTCATCTGCTTCTTTGTCTGTAGAACGAACTTCTACATCGGAAGCATCATCTCGCCAGGACGAGGCGGGCGGAAAATTGACGCCATTGCCGGAATTGTCGTTTAGCACACATACGCACAAGGACCTGGAGACCCGTTTCCGCACTAGGCAAGTGTTCTTTCTCGAAAGCACACCATTCTGAGATGCTGCGAAGCAAGGGGCAACGAAAGCGACCATGGCAGATGTGTTCTGGTGGTGGGGTGGATGCAGACACCGCTGCGTCATTCTTCAAGCTGAAGAGATTTTATGCTCAAGAGACATCAAGGGACGATGTGAAGGTGTAAAGGCGGTCAAGTGGTTTTCTTTGAGCGGTTGACTCGAGCCCAACAGTCCACGAATGAATGTGAGGTGCAAGATAGGACAGCAGTTCCCGGCAATAATAGGACGGGTGTGAGCATAACAGATGCAATGCGACCTCCAAGCTCTACCGTCGGTGGCCGTGTAAATATTTGAGGCTATCAGAGGCGGGAAGAGTTTATGCGGTGGACCACGACCAATAATATGTAAAATGCTCGAATCTAAAACTATCTGTAAGCTACTGCTGTGGGAGCCAATGAAATATGACACGGTGCCGCAGCGCCAGGGAACAAGTGCTCACAACTTCCATGGTCACAGTACGCCCCTTGATCCGCGTGATTTATTATGGGAATTTTTCTTACGCACTCCTTTTATTTTGGAATTTTCCTTCCACACTTACCCCTTTCTTCACCTCACGCTCCCAAACGACTTTCCGGTACACTGATCACGGTAATTAGTGGGGACCGGACTAATTCTGAACCTGGGTTTTAGAGGCCGTGACTGTGAATAGTCCGGTCCTGACTATTTATGAATCTAGACTATTTACGGTGTGATTCTTAAATAATCGGGACCAGACTATTTTACCAGTGCAAAAATACTCTAGATCAGTTGACAATCTGATGAAAGGACAACTTGTCACGCGATTGGCTCACCGTTGAAATGATTGCGATGCTTCGCGATGATCGCTTGCAGGGGCAAAAACAGTTGCTTCTCCTCCCACTGCCCGTTGACATTCAAGAACATCCCAGTGCGTATCATCGCTTTTCGTGCATATGTCAGACCGGCCTTATCGCGCTGAGCATTGACATCCAGGACTGCTTCAGCGGCCATCTGCAAAAAGAATCTTTTGCCAGGATTTTTCAACTTTCCACTCGCTCCCTCACCACTCCCCATCCATTCCCCTCTTGCCATTAGACCCACTTTATACGCATCCCAAATGCTCCTCCATGCGTCTTTAAGTTTAGATATGACGAACGAATCCGCAGGTTGTACCAGATCAGTGGCGTTCGCGGGAAGCTTCCTCAAGACAGTGTTGATGTCCCGAAGGCATTTAGACATTGCTTCAGTTTCAATGTGCCCCGAGCAGTTGTCAACAAAGAGGGTCCGATTCCGGCCGTAGATGTCCCTCCTGATTGCCCTCGGCTCCGCAAGCCACTCGGCGAACACACGACCATCCATCCATCCCTTACGACCTGAGCGATAGCAGACACCGGTAACATCGTCCGGTACACCTCGTATCGGATAAGAGCAGTTCGGATTCTGGAAAATTAGCATCGGCGCCTCTATCCTTGCATGAACACCACCCGTTACTCTTACCATCATAGTTATCCCTTCATCGCCGGAAACAACATCTGCATATTTCACAGACTCCTGGCCACGCAATCCAATAGTTCTCCCGTTGTCCATATTAAACAAAAAGTGCGTTTCATCCGCGTTCTCGACTAAATCTTCAACTAAGTCTCCAGCCATAAACCCTCGCTTCGGAGTCCCAAGATGGTACGCCACATTCTTATCTATGAACAATTGCTTGTCGGGACTTACGGAAAGGTTGCCAGCCTGGCGTCTTATGACCAAGTCATGGGCAGCCATGAACGTCTGGACCCATCTTACAGTAATTCGTTCGGCGATTGGGGCTCCTCTGACGAGCGTGGTGTGGTTAAAAGAAGCGTCAGGATCTGCCGTTTGGATCAAGCTTTTTGCGGCACAGACTAGGAGGGACGGACTGAGCTTTACATTCATCGAGTGCAGCCGATCAAACTCCCCTTTCAGAGCTACATATAAATCTTTCACCCACTGTTCCCTCTTTCGTCTACGTCCATTAACAGCCTTATTGTTCTTCCGTTTTCGGCCTTGACTCCCCGTTGATGACAGATTACCAAGCCGACGCCCGGGAGCAGATAGACAGATGTACTTGGATCTGTTTTTCCACCAAAAAGAAACCTTGCTGTGGTTAGTTTTGTAGCTGCCCGGGAATATATGAGGGAAATTCCGCAAGGCCATAGCCGGAAGACCGTTTTGCCTTGTTTCATTGGCTTGGGACAGCATCCATTGAATCACAGTTCTGCGCTGGCTGATTGTAGAAACAATCTGCCGTTTTCAGCCTTAGGAGACGATATTGGCTGTGTCGGAGACCAGTAAGGCGCTGGATTAGTGATTAGTTTCGGGCGTGGGGCTCGGGGACACTGGGGGTCGTGCTGCTATCGCGGCCGCCAAGGACCGTTCAATGGGTCCCTGGGTTGGCATTGCGGTTGCTGGAGGTGCTCAGGATGTGAACCACTTGAGGGAAGGGGAAAGATCGGTGGTGAAAGAGAGGGGATCGGTGGTAAATGGAAAGGAAGGGTCGATGTGTCGGTATGGGCTGATGGTGATCACCAAATGTGCGATCAAAACATGTGACCAAAAAATATGGACGGGCAAAATTGCACAGTAAGCAATTCCAGGAATGTGTAAATTTACTCTGCATGATCCGATGGCCACGTACCGTGACACAGGGACCCCTATGTGAAACAGGGAGGCGTAGATGATTACAGTACGGTATCATGAATCTGGGGGTCCTGAACAGTAAATAGTCCGAACCGGACCAACTTTGAACCAAAACTAATTAGGGTATCACGACTAATTACCGTGATCAGGTGTAGAGGTAAAGTTTTACATAGTACAGAGCTTACCCAAACGAGAAATTCAGGAATACAAATGCAGAAATTCTGCAATACCAATTGCTGAATTCTATTTCTGAAAAGTGATTATACAGTTTCCGAAAACGTTTGCGCAAATAGAAAACTTCCGCTCGCAGGAGTAATAGACGGGAAGGTCATGCAGTACTAGTACATACCGTACAGTAGTGCCAGGATCGCGACGGCGGCGAGCTCAGTAACCCTGACCATTCGCGATGGGGCGCCGCAGACAAAAGGACCCTTGCACGTCCTTGGTCAGACGTCGACAACTCCACTGGCAAGTGGCCTTGAGAACTGTCTTCAGCCGAAGTTAGATGATTCCTGGCTCCGCGCTTTCTGACACAAAATCAAATCTTACTCTGAATGCAAAGTTCTCGAGCGCCACCAAGGACTATCACTACTATTTATGGCGTGTTAGACGCATTTCGCACCAAGACTTCTCATTTAACTTCAATTGCCTTACGGATCGGGAGTGCTTGCAGAATTTCCGATTTCAAAAACGGCAAATATCACAGCTTCTCTCTGTGATGAGTTGGCCTGAAACGCAAACGAGAACGTCCAGAAATAGATATCGTGCCTCTCCCATTCTTGCGACTTGTATCGTTTTGCGGCGTCTCGCTGCTCCATCTAGGTGGGGAGACATTGAAGAACTCTTCGGAAAGCATGCGCCACAGCTTTCCAAAATTTTTTGGGAATAGAGCACCTTTTGACACTCGAAAACACCTCGTGACGGAGGACATTAGTGAGCTTTTCATTGCCCAAAGAGCAGAGCTTTATGCACAGCGTATTCAGGACAAGGGAAAAGCCCTTCCTAATTGCGTCGGATTTATAGATGGTACCGTTTTAGGGATCGCCCGTCCGAACGGAAGTCTGTCTCAGCGTGTCGCTTATAATGGACATAAGCGCAAGCACGGTATCAAATATCAAGCTTTGAACACACCGGATGGTCTCATACAGCACTTGTATGGTCCATTAGAAGGTAGAAAACATGACTGGACTTTATATGTACGCAGCAAAATGGACGATATTCTTCCTAGAGTGTTATTGGTGGAAGAAAAGCAGTACTGTATATATGGCGACTCTAGCTACAACCAGCGGTGGTTTATCGTTGCACCCTTTCAGGGCTTCAACATCTCTCTTGCCCAGTCTGCATTTAACAAGGCAATGTCGTCAGTGCGGGTTAGTGTGGAATGGATTTTTAAAGAAGTGAAGCTACAATTTCCGTAATCAATTTCAAACAGAAAATGAAAGTTCGCGAACACTCCGTGGGCATGATATACCTGGCGTCCATTCTGTTATCTAACTTTCGAAACTGCCTCTACCCCAACCAAATCTCGAGGTACTTTGATTGCCCGCCTCCCGATCTTACGACATATGTGAATCATAGAAACTAGTGCTTTTATAACGCTTTAGTTCTGTCAGAGGGAAACTGACAGCGAGCGGAGTTGTTCATTTATTTTTTGTGCTCAATGATGGAAAGTGGTGCCAGGAGAATAGTTCAACAGAGATTAGTACCGAACAGAGTTGGTCGGTTAATTGTTTTTGATGCAAGGACAGAAAGTTGTTGCCACGAGGCTGGTGTGACGGAGGTTGGCGGAGAGCGGAGCTGCCCATTAAATTATCTAATGTTCTAGAGTGGAATGGTGCTGCCATGCAGACCGTTCGTACGACCGTCTCGCCGCGATGTATGTGCGAGGAGGACGGGGTGGCGGCGGGCGTTGAGAGGCCGTAGTAGCCTGTGAGGCGCGTGTTGCGCTGCTTGCGCGGGACGGCGTCCGTCATGGCGGGGTGGTTGAAGGGGCAGAGGGAGGGAGGAGGCGAGGGAGGAGGCGAAGAGGGAGGGAGAAGGCGAAGAGGGAGGTAGGAGGCGAGCGAGGAGGCAAAGACGAAGAAGACGAAGAGGAGGGAGATGCGAGAGGGATGTGTTCTGGTCGAGGTGGGTTTTCCTTAAATTAAAAGTCGTCCCTCTCCTTCCCCCCAGCGTCTCTCCCCACCCGACACCGTCCTCCTCCCCGCGCTCATTGCCGAACTCCGCCCCTCCTCCCCCGACTCCTCATCCGCAATGCCGCCATGTCCACTGCCCTCCGCCTCGCGTACATACACCTCCTCCTCCTCATCCTCCTCGTCCCCCAAGCGCTCTGCGCCCCTCCCCCGAACTACCACACAACCTCCGCCCTCCTCTCCACTCTACAATTTATCCGCGTCGCGCTCCTGCCCGCACGGCCGCGCGGAGTGGGCGTCCCTAACGCGCAGCTCGCCGCATTTGCTGGTGATAACGCTGTCCCACAACCTGCGCTACCTGCCGCCCTCCGCGCTCGTCTCCCGCCTGGGGCTCGTCGCCGTGTTCGGCGATCACGAGCGCGAGCGCATAACATCCGAGCCCGCTGTGCACATCATCCGCGCGGCCGCGGTGACGGGCGTCGCGC